TGTAGTAGTTATGTTATGTAGTAGTAGTAGTAGTAGTAGTAGTAGTAGTATCGAAGAAATGTTCGTTCATACACTGTTACTTGGAATATTGGTACTGATCATGGTTATTACAATCATAGCAATGTAATGGTGATGACTGTGAGTCCCTCAATTGAACCCATTTTGTTCATGTGTGATTGTCTAGATGAGTCCAAGCGAAGCTTTCTGGGAAGTCACTGTTCTATGGTTAACTGCTTTATGGACCCTTGCTCCATGGCACAGTGCACAGGAGGCTGTGTCCCGTGAGTATCTGACCAGTGTTTAGTTTTTAGTTTTTAGTTTTGTAAGAGTTTCGAGGCATAGGTTATTATTTAAATTGCTGAAGACTGGAAGGTTTGCTTAAGAGTAGCATGCAAAGGAAAGAAGAAAGATAGATACGGACGACAGATATTTGAAGGAAAGAAGGAGCAAACCTAACCAAAGTAGCTGCCAATCACCCACAAGTATGTGCTACAAATGAAACAATTTCTGCCGTGGGCTGTTGTTGTCATTTTAATAAAATGTATTGTTATTGCTGTAGTAATGTTGTAGGGGTTGGGCACGACCGACCTAATGCACATTCGCAGCTGCTACAACCACTCTAGTTTCAGAACAGCAGCCGTGACCATTAATTATGCTCAAGAGTCCATGTGAAATATGAGCTTTTTGGGTATTTCTTGATGTGTTGTCTTCGCTCCTTTACAATACATTTTAGGTTGGTTAGTACTAAAAGTAAACTTTTCTTTTTTTGTGTTGGGTGTGGGGGGAGGGGGGTGGGTTGAAAATTGGTGATATTGTTTTGGTTGTTTTTTTCAGCAAAGAATATTTTGTTTCTTGCTATTTATTTTATCTGGTTTTATTTAGTAAAGTAATCTAGAGAAGACTGCATAATAAACATAAACCTAATAACATGCAAGCTGTTGGGACTAGAGAGAACTTCCCTATAGCTAGCTTCATCATTCTCCTGGGGTGTAGGCTGACTTGGCTGACATGGTAATCATAGTGAGACAGAGAACCAGACAGAGAAGAAGCCGCACTCGAAACACTTTCCCGCAATAGAAACATCATTAACAAAATGTTTTTATTCGAGGCAGCATAATGGAGTTGTGAACGAAAACAAATCTTGAATTTATTTTATTGTATGTTCAACTGCTTAAACAATCGAGAAAACATATCATTAGATAATTTATTCCCACTTTGGGCAAAACGTATTTGTAACTTTTAAACCTTGCAGTCTGAAAGATGTTTTAACTGTATATTTAACTATAGATGTGAGTACACAAACAGAAGACAAAGAGGCAGAGATTACAATTTGAATATCAAGAAAGTCAGACTGATCTTCGAAAGGAAATCAATCTATATATTTCGGAATACCTGTTTCCTTCCTTCGAAACTGTGTGGTTTCGATGACTTCGTGCAAACAGGATCATTTTGGATTTTTCTACAGATTTTTAAAGGAAGTTATTTCAGTACCTTAATTAAGGCGCCGCCGCTCACATGTCAAGTGTTTAAATCTGCAAGTCACATCGAATGTGCCAAATTGTGTTGGTTTAAGCTACTTGCAACACTGTAAGACTGCATTACATGTGTACCCCCATAAAACCAGCGTCTATGATGTTGTGGTTAGGATCTTCACTGTCGTGCACAGAAGACATGCCAGTTTTTGTTTTATCGGGCTTTCCCATCTACCTGCTAGCATGTTATATCCCTTTCAGCGCTGGTTGGCCCTGATAATCCTTCTTCTAAATTATAGTGCAGTATAAAGTGTTTTGATGCATCCTAAAAACACCATCCGGTTAATTTTGCTTGTTACCTGCGCGGTTTACGGGGCGCTGGCTCCTTGAGGACGCGCGCTCTGGTCATTCTGCAACGCTTGGTGACACGCTGGTTTTGGGCACTTTAAAAAAAAGCATAACTTCATAATCCCTGCATATCTTTCAAAATAAAATGCTTTCTTTACCTCAGACTTAAAAGGACAAGCAACAACAGGTTTACTATGACGTAGGAAAAAATGGTGTTTCTGATTTGTGTGTGATGATTCGAAATGAGTTGCAAAATTGCCTTTCGTTGTCTGCTGATCGGATTTATATGATGTGTGTGCGTTACGTTCTTGAAGAGTTAAATCTGTTCTCATCTTCTTGTTGTCTCGTGTTCTCTGTTTCCTCAGAGATTGCAACTGCCAAGCCGTGTGCCAATAGGGAATGACGAAAACTTCAACGAAGACAAACCTCGCATCCTTAACTTAAAAAGCATTGTAATCCAAATGGTCAGATGCCCATATAATAAGGATAGCAACAGGCGCTTCTATAGTACTGGTACAGCTGAAACGATCATATGAGTTGGGTGAACTTGGACACTATACCCCGACCAAAACTTCATCTATTTAAACTCTTTTCCGTCTCATGTACGAGGAAAATTCGGTATCTTCTCGTCAGTAAACAAAAATGAAAAATGTTTAGTTTCATGGTTGATTTGTTCGTGATCACGCTCGTGCGTGCGTACGTGTGTGTGTGTGTGTGTGTGTGTGTATGTGTGTGTGTGTGTGTGTGTGTGTTTGCGCGCATGTGTGTGCACGCAGCGCGCGCGCGTGTGTGTGTGCGAGTGTGACTTTTTGCTTGTGAGAGCGTTATTGTGATAAGATATTCTTCGGTTTTACAAGACATGTGACCAGACAATTTGTGTTTTTAAATCACACAAATCGGTTTTTGCCTACTTTTTACCGATGTGTGCATTAAAAAAAATATTTTCAAACCAGTGTCACGCTTGCAAAACGTATTACGGTCGGCAGATCTGCCTGACGGAGAAGGTCAAAAAACCCTTTCCTTAAAGTGTGGTGGGACCATGGCTACATTAGTGCCAATAAAACTCATGTGCAGTAGTAAAGACAGAGATATTGCATCTTCTTATCTCTTCGGAAAATTATTCGTTATGGTCTGGGGCGAAGGCTTACTTGTTTGACAGGGTAATCAAAGTGAGACAAGAACCAGATAGAGATGTCGCACAATAATAGATTTCCCACATTAGGAGCATAACAGACAAAACTTCTTACTCGGGGCGACATCATTGGGTTGTGAATGAAAACAAATCCTGAATTTATATTGTATTTTTAAACGCCAAAATAATCGGGGAAGTATGTCATGAAATGTTTATTCCCACTATCTCTAAACTTAAACTGAGATGTGAATGTACAAACAAAAAGCAAAGAAGCAGAGATAGCAGTACTACAAGTAATACATGACAATTATCTATTTGATTTCAAATTCAGCTGTTTTGTCTTGCCGGTGTCATAATCGAGGTCACGATCTGACAATTATCTATTTGATTTAAAATTCAGCTGTTTTGTCTTGCCGGTGTCATAATCGAGGTCACGATCTGACAAAAGGACGGTCAAAAGTAACGTAGACGAACCCCCCCCCCCCCTAAAAAAACAACAACAACAACAAAACAACAACAACAAAAACACACACACACCCAAAACAAAACAAAACAAGTATGCACAGCAGTCATGAGATCAATTAAGTCCCCTTCGCCTTTGTGAGGTAGACTCAACCAGGCTATGACAGTGGTCCGGAAGGGATGAACAGGGTATTTATGTGGCAGTGAAACAGTTTCGAGTGTTGTGCACATGTTCCCTTTGCCGCTTTGGGGGTAAACTCTACCGGCATTACTATAAGCTTAGGTCTACACTGACAGCAGAATTAGAGAAAAGGATTCAGACGACAGAGATGAGATGTTACCGCAGACTCCTTGACATCTCGCACAAAAACCACATTTCAAATGCTGAGGTACGAAACAGAATCACCAACGCAGTGGGGCAGCATGAAGATCTACTGACCACAGTGAAGAGACGAAAATTAAAATGGTATGGGCATGTCACAAGATCCACAGGACTTGCCAAAACAATCCTACAAGGAACCGTACAAGGAAAGAGAAAGAGAGGAAGGCAGAGAAGGAGATGGGAGGACAACATTACTGAGTGGACAGGAAAGACGATGGGTGACAATCTGAGGAAAGCAGAGAACAATGATAAATGATCTACATAAGCTAATCAGTGCTTGCGGCCGCTTATAGAGTGACCCGAAAGGGGTGCACATGGTATTTATGTGGCAGTGAAACAGTTTTGAATGTCAGGCATGCTCTTCGTTGGTGATTATGAACGTCTATTTAATTTAATTAATGAGGTCTACGTCTACGGGTGAATTTAACTGCGACGATGTTCCAAAATTTGGAAGGGAAGCAATAATTATTGTTTATAGACGCTTCGCCACTGGTTATGTTTTTTTTTTCTTTTCTTAGTTTCTGTGTCTAAAGGCATCATGTTTGTCCAAACTGTTCTTCAGCAGTCACGTAGCTTTGTATGCGTGTAGATCTAACTTTTTTTGTACAAGCTATTACATTTGTACTTCCCATTAAAATGTTTTCTCGAACACGGAGAAAAAGTTGGAATATAAAAGGTAAGAGGATCAGCAGTGCTCTTTCAACAGACTTAGACATGTAGTCCTAGCCCCACCACAACAGAAATGAACTTACAACAAATTTACCCTGCGAGAGTCTTTTTTGTTTTTGTAAAGTGTTTTACGGCGCTCGCAACTGCATAAGATGCGAGAGTCTGGTGTGTGCAATTGAGAACTATATAAGAATATGTAGGCCTACAGTCGAACCTTCTTCAATGTCCACCTATCCAAGACAATCGCCAGTACAAACGACCAATTCCCACTTTCCCTCTCGAGTTCCTTCTTTGTCATAATGACACTGTCCACGACTTCCACCTGTCTAGGACAGTTCGACCATACACATAACTGTTGACCTTCTTGCTGTATACCCCAACATGCTTATTACCACGCTGTTGCCACAAATTGAATTTAACCAGTACTTTCCAACCTGTGCGCTCTAGTAGGTGATTTATTTTTATTGATTGATTTTTATTGGGCGGTGGGGATTGTCACAGCACATGTGTTATTTAATGCCCTGTTTGAAAATACATGAAGGTGAGCAGTACGAAATTTTTAGCCGTTTAACGGAGGCAAACGTGGACACTGGCTATAAAACGGTTGACGGGCACTGATCTAAACAGTAAAAGCTATTACCCCCCCTTCCCTAAAAGTTCGTGGACCTGAATCAAGACGACAAAGTTTTACGGCTTTCAACATAATATTGTTGAAACTTGCTTTTGGTAGCATGGTGAAATAAGATTTATAATGATTTTAAAAAGTCTTCTCTTAGAAATAGTGAAATGGTATAGGTTTAACACCCCTATCAGCACAATAATTATTAGTTTGCTCTAGTGACAAATCTATAAATGGGAAAACATAGAACTGCAAAAAGACAGAAATACGATAAGACAGTGAATAGAAAACAGCAAACGCGACAACAATGCTCAAACCAAATGAACTATGCGTGAAAATAGATAATTGATAAACAGCTGTGGATTTCCCAGAGAAAAGTAAACCCAATAAAGATGAGATCATGACATTGTCACGTTTTCATCTTTCACGGGACAGCTATAACTGATAAGGCAGTGCAGTCTCTATAAGACGATCATCTGTACAAACCACCACTGCCCAGTTCCCCTTAGGTGGTTTTCTAAATATATTGTTTTATAATGACACTGTGGAAGACAGCCAAGAGCCTAAGACCGGCAATTTTTCCACTGGACATTGGATGATCGTCTTAGACAGTTTCAATAGTAATACATGTATATATATATTTTTATTAATCACCGGTTCGATGTGCGTGCATTTCTGTGGGTGCGAATGCGTGTTATGCATGTATGTGTGTATGTATGTATGTATGTATGTATGTATGTATG